TTGCAATAGCTTGATTATAATCTCAAACCGTCTCTGCTGTCTGGAAATTTCTACTGCCATGGGATACTGCCTATCATGTTTATGCTCTTGTGGAGATTTTCTGGCAAGTGCCACTGTCACAGCAGGACAGATAATGAATGGTGTTAGTGATAATGAACCAAATTCAAAATTTTTGGTTCGCTTCATATAAAGGACAAGTTTTTTTAGGCTCAGAACTTGCAAAGTCACTCAATCAACAGGGAGGATTATCTGAGTGCATTGTTTGGAAACAACTTCCAAACCTTTAGTGTGGGTAGTGTAATTTTTTAGCCCCAAACCTTTAGTAGTGTATGTGAAGTAGTGTCTTCACATACACTACTTCAAATACTATGTTGAAAGGTTCAGGTTCTTTCATGCCTGGGAGCCTGCTTTGACAGGTGTCTCAAACTAAAGAACAGAACATCCAGTAAATCAGATGATTCCTTATTTACACAGACTTTCCTGTGCCTTTGTTTCCTCCAGTTAGGATTTCAGCCATACCATACTTCTTAAGATCAGATTTACCAAGCTCTTGACCAAAAGCAGTAGCTGGTACTTGGTACATTTCTAAATACATCTCAGTACCTTCTGGCATATGGACAAGGACAGTAAAAGGGCACTCCTCAAATTATACCCAAAACCTGAACAGCAACACAATTCCCAGCTCACAGGAGATCCTCAGGACAGATGGGGGGGAAAAAAGGAAAATTCTGTTTTGTGATCAAATTTTTCTGATACTCCTTCAAGCTGTTCTACTGCAAATATGTGGTGTTCTCTGCAGCAGCCCTGGCCTACTGCCCCCATCTGACTGGGTGAGAAAAGCACTGGGAACCACCCAGGGCACTGCTGGGAGCACACATTCTCAATACATGGAAATGTCACACTGACACAGATTGAGGAAAGTGGCAGACACTGAACTTGAGGATCAATCTGAAAGGCAAAAAAACCCTTTCGTATTTCTGCTGCAGGGGAGAGGCTGACAGAAGGAATAATTTCTTCCTACTAGGGCAAGAAAAGAAACTCATAAGCAACTGGGCTGAACCCAGAAGTCCCTTCCAACCTCAGCCATTCTGTTATTCCCAGCACATCTTGCAAAGGCTTTAGAAAGAAGTAAACTACAGAGGATGTTTCCTGCAGCCCTGTTCTAAGACAATGACCAAAGGAGGAGCCAACTAGGTTCAAGCAAGAGGATCTGGCATGACACACTGCATCTTGTCAGCTATGTTTTGAGCAGTCCTGAAAAGGAAAGAAATACTGGAGGGTAGAGGAGGGCAGATGATTCTGTATTTTTAAAGAAGTTTGGTGTGTAGTGGTCAAACTTTCATGACCTGCACACAAATCTGCATATTCAGCAGTTTTAAAGGAATTGAGAGACCATCTGTGTGTTTAAATATCTTGGGGGCTTGGGGAAGAATCATTGTTTGCTCTAAGAAAATCATCACATATAGAGAAATAGTGCTGTTCTTCACCTCTCAGTGTGCTAAAAGCAGGAATTCTGCATGTACTAGCTGTAGAAAGACTTTGGTATGAGCTTTAAGATAAGTTTGAAGAGTACATTACAAGTTTGTATAAAGTCACATGTTGCATTACTTACCCCCAGCAAGTTCCTCCAGACTTGGGACATGAAAAGCAAACCTTTCGACTTTGGCCATTTCCTGATTTGCTGATTTCTTCAGGCAACAAGTTACAGTGCAGCACACTGCAGAGTGACTGGTCTGCCAACAAACATAATAGTTTAACAATTTAAACATGCTCCTTTCAACACGTTAATTATTTTTCAATTTCACTCTAGAATACATAGAAAAAACAGAACTGTAGTTCTGGCATCACAGGAGAGACTGACAGCTTCAATAGTAATGTTGAATTTCTTATGCATTTTGGGAGAAGATGAGTCTGTCAGCCCTATAGCTGGCTCAGAGCATTACACATATTGGTCCTCAAGCTGACAGCTGGGTGTAGGGAAAACATATCCTACACTGAATGCAGATGAAGTGATCAGGAGATGTGGGTGTCTTTGTAAGCCTGGAGTCCCAGGAAAGTTTTGAAAGGAACCTGAGCTTTTCTGAGCATATCAGCTGCCTCCTAAGGTCTTCCCAAATTTAATGTTTACTTTTCCAGCATTGGCAATGGTGGACTTTCAACCCGAGCTGTGACATGGTCTCAAATTAATTTCTGGGCATGTGTTTCCCCTTCCAGAGAGGAACAGGCTAGCAGCAAAATAGAAATCAACTCCAGCAAGTTCTGCAGTACCAGGCTCTGTACACATATAAAAAGTATGTAAAAAAAAAAAAAGTATGTACTGTAGCAAAAAGTTTTGAACATGAGTTTAAGAGTCCCTTCAGAAATGAAGTGTACTTCAGTCAGCCATGCAACAGCAAAGCCAGCTGGAAGGGCAAGGCACTGGGTCAGGGCAGAAACAACTGATTGTACACTACCTAAAAATCAGCTGCAGCAATCATTAACTCCTTAGGCACGTACTTGCTACACACAGCAATAAAACATAAAATGGGTCCCATTTACCCAGATCTCAGGTGGAAGAAGGAAAAAGGGAAATCCTAACTACATTCCTAGACCTGACTGAGTCTTTGTTAGGAAGGACTATGGTGTGAGACAGCTGCTTATGTAGAGTTCTACCATCCGTTTTTAAAAAATCCTCTTTTATGACTGTCAAAAAATGTAACTGTCCTCTTGAGTGTGCATAAAGGAAAAAAGAAAACCCAACCACCAGGAAAAAAAAAAGAAATTAGAAGAGTGGAGAGATCGTAGCAGTCACTTAACTGAAATCTTTCAGGTTAGTGCTCTGCCACCCCAAATTACTGGGGGTGGCAAGCAATAGAGAAGGGAAGAAAGACTGCAACCTGTGTATAGTAATTCTCATCTTAGTTGGTCTTATCTGTCTCCACAGTTGATTTCATCCCTCCTCTGGCTCTGGAGGAGAAAGCAGCAGGCTGGATTTGGTGCCTCTGGTAGAAGCCTCATGTCAGGTGGAGTGAATCATACCACAAGACTTCTAGTGTGCACCAAGAAAGGGAGTAGTTAGCCACAGGCAGAAAGTGAGAACATGGCTTTGGGAGCATTGTTTTAGATGATCCTCATCCCCTCAAGAACCTTTTGCCACATCCAGGAGGAGGCTGTGCCAGCACTCAACACATTGGTTGTCCTGAAACAGTCTGAGAAGACAAACTAGAACTGCTGTTGTGCAAAAGGCAGAGACAAGACTTGTACAGTATTCAAATAAGTTAACTCCCTACAATCACGAAAGGAGAGAAAGACTGTGGAAAAATTTGATGTACCATAATAAACCCAATCTGATTGGTAGACAGTAGTTCTTACCAGGAAAAACACAAAAGAGTAAATCTGTGGCCCACCACTGCAAATATTCACAGGGGAGTGAATTGTGTGGTGTGGGACAGAGAGAACCTGGGACAACAGCACACATTTGAGATCCATCATGGAGGGGTGCAATGACACTGAATTGCTACAGAAGAATTTCAAAGAAAGAACACAAATTATAAAGGGATGATAAAATTATTATAGATGTGGGATGATGCAACTAGAATGGAGGCAACAAGTATGTAAAGACTTAAAAGTCTACTTCTGAAGTGGGAAGAAAACATCAGAGAGAGTAGCCAGATGCCAGGAGAAGGCAGATGAAACGTGAAACATTAGATTAATTGTGTGTCTATTATCAAAACCTGAATTGAAATTAGCTTGGAGAGTTACAGCCAAAAAGGAGAGGTTATAGGCAGGCTAGACATGAGTCGGGGAGGGGGGTGGTGGGGGAAGAAATATCCGTGGAAAAAACTGAAGATGGCAGTTGTGAGAGAGAAATTTAGCGCTGACGCCGAGAAGACCAGGACAGCCCCAGATGCAAGAGCCGTATTTTTCGCCTGTGGCCGTGCGAGGAGATCCCGTACAGGGCAGAGGAGGGCTGCGGGGCAGCAGAGGCAACTGTTTGAGCGGCTGGGATTTGGGGAAGGGACGGCTCACGGCAGGGTAACAACAGGCGAGGCTGGGCTCCGTGGGACAGAGAGCGTCCCGGCAGGCAGGGGCAGCGGAGAGTACGGGAGCGAGGGAGCGCTAAAGGCGGCGGCACGCTTGGCATAGCTGCGGGGGAAGGAAAGGGCTGTTCAGGCTGGATCTGCCAGCTCGGAGGAGCCGGGGGAAGGACAAGCAGCACAGCAGGGACGGGACGGGAGCCTCTCGCCGGGCGGGAAGCCGCGGGAAGCCAGACCTGCCTGATCTCTGCCACGCACCGAGCGCCGCCGCCGCGCCACCGCGCCACCGCGCCACCGCACCTACCTGCCCTGCCGCCGGGACTGGCACGGCGAGGCGGGGACTAGCACGGCTAGGCAGGACTCGGCCCCGTTCAGCCCCGCTCGTCTCCGCCCCCGGGCGCGGCCGCCCCGCCGCCACTCCCAGCATAGCGCCATCCTCCTGCCCCTCCTTCCCGTCGGCCCGCGCGCCTCTCGCGAGCTCCCGGCGCTATTTAAGGGGCGGGGCGGGAATTGCGCGCCCTTTGCGGCGGGGCGGCGGCCGCTGAAGGTGGGTTGGTCGGTGTGGGCCGATCCGCTGCCATCCGCGCTGCCGGGGCCCGGGACCACGGAGGCCGGGGGTGGAGGGACAGTCCGGGCGGTGTGGAGTCGTGCCCCGAGGACCGGGGCGTGTGGCGGCGGTCGGTGAGGGGCCCCGCCGAGCGATGTCCCGGGGTGTCCCCGGCCCGTGGTGCTTTGCTGCCTGCCCGCGTTGGAATGGCCTTCCCGTGGCGCCGGCCCTGGGGCGCTGCGGGCTGCCGAGCCTGGCGAGGGGGCGAGTGGCGTGCCGGGCGCCTTTGTTGGGCCTTCAGCGAGTTTACGTGGTTGCTTTTCCTCCCTAAGGCATCTGCGTGCTGTGCCAGCGCTGCAGGCCGGAGCTGCGGCAGAGACCTCGAAGGATGCTGAGCTGCGGCTTGTGAGTACCGGGCAGGGCGTGTGCGCTCAGAGGGGCATTGCTGTCCTGGCCATGCCGTGGGTTGGTTTCGTTTCTGCGCTTGGTGTTTGTCAGGCCAGGGGTGAGCCAGCGTGAGCAGTGTGCTTGCAAAGGCATAGCAAAGCTGCCACGAGCGTCTTTCATGTTGTGAGGGGCCCAAAAAGGAACACAGGATTGGAGGTGTGGCTTCACCAGTGCTGAGTACAGGGGGACAGTAACTACCCTGGTCCTGCTGGCCGCACCATTGCTGATCCAGGCCAGAATGCCATTGGCCTTCTTGGCCACCTGGGATCATACTGGGCTACTGTTGACCAGCACCCCTAGGGCCTTTTCTGGTGTGATCCAAGTGCAGAACCCAGCACTTTGCCTTGTTGAACCTCACTCATTTGGCTTCAGTGAAATCCAGCTTGTGCAGGCGCCTCTGCAGAGCCTTCCTGCCCTCCAGCAGATCATTCCCATCCAGCTTGGTGTCACCTGCCAGCTGAATGAGGGTGCACTTAATCTAGGTCATGTCAGTGGACATGAAATTGGTCTGGCCCCAGCACTGATTGCTGGGGAACATCACTTAAGACCAGCTACCAGCTGGATATAACTCCATTTAGCACCACTCTCTCGGGATCCATCCATCCATCCAGTTTTTTATGCAATAAACAGTGCACCCATCCAAGCCATGAGCAGCCAGTTCCTCCAGGAGAATGCTGTGAGAAATGCTGTCCCAAAGCTTTACTAACGTGCAGGCAGACGGCATCCACAGCCTTTGCCTCATACGCTGGTCAGAGAAGGAGATCAGGTGGGTTAGTTGGCACCTGTCTTTCCTAAATTCTGACTGGGTCTAATCCTTTGATGTGCATGTGCCTTCAGGATCATGTGCTGCAGGTTATGTGAGGACATTGGATAAACTGCGCTAGTGTCTTCAGATGCTGAACTGTGTAATAACATTTGAAATATTAATGGGTTTGATGATGAGTTTGTAAAATTCTAAAAAGCACAGTTAAATTAGAAAGATACAGGTCTACAGGGCTAGTAAATGATTAACAGGTAAAATAACTTTGGGCTCATACAGAGGAAAATTTAAGTTCCTTTGCTGTGTGTTAACAGTCCTTTTTGTATAGACTTGGGCCACCAAAGAGCTGGACTGTGTTGTCTTGCAGATTCAAGTGAAAATTAACGTTTTAGTTCTGAGGCTGGTCTCTGAAGATTGATAGCCAAATAAAGGGGTGATTGATTGTTGAGAGCAGGAGATTTTTAGGTATCTTAGAGCTCACAAAAGGAGAGAAGGAAAATGGCATGGCTTCTCATGATACACTATCTTGGATTAATTTAAAGGTTTTAAACGACAGTAAAGTAAATATTTATGTATGACCTCAAACTGCAATATCCTTACAAGTATAAGAAGCCATTGGCTATGTGTATGTATGCTTGTTTGGAGGCAAACTCTCCCCTAGTAGAGAGGGTTAAAACATTCAGAATTGAGCTCAGTAAGTCTCGGAACAATCTGTTTCACCACTGATGTTTGCCTTCTTTTGGCAAAAGCTGAACTAAAAAGATTCACAAATTTTCTGATCTCAGTTATGCTGTGATTTTTTTCTTCAGTGGCTGTGACTTAAATGTTAATATGAAGAATGTAACTGGTCGTGGTTCATAGGAAAATCTCTGCTCAAGTTTCCTCAAGATTGTTCTTAAGTTTACCCTGTGATCATGAGTGGAGTAGTAGGAAGTTTGTTGCCTGATTAATGTACATTTTTTTTTAGTTTCTTGAATTCTCATTGCCTTTTAGGGCAAACTGAAACATGACTGACACAGATGAGTCCCAGGCTTCTGGCTCTGATTACCCTGATGCACAGGAGCTGATCAGCCACCAGCAGGAGGAGCCATCCGAGGTGTGCTCATGGCAAAGGAAAACAGGGACAGAGCGGTCAAGGCAGAAGGCAGCTGCTCCTGGGGAGTCTGCAGATCATCCCAACGGCGTGTCTAAATCATCAGCTGCTTCAGCTGAGGTTTTACTGATCAGCAGTGATTCAGAAAGGTAAGCTTTTGTCTCTAGTCCAGAATTTTTCCTGTGGAGAACCTGTGTAATGTATCATAAAAGTGAACCTTCTTTTGAAAGTAAATACTTATTTCTTCTTCAGTGATGTCTCTGCTGCTCGTCCTGAGTGCTCCGTTGCACCTTCCAAGCAGAAAAGGCGATCTCAATCTTCAAGGCAACAAGCTGACTCTGGTACAGAAGTACCTGACAATGAAAGCTCCTCAGATTCTTCCCTGTCTCCCCAAAGTCCAGGGAAATCATTAGAAGTTCCCAAGCAGCAAAAGTCTAAATTCAATTTGAAGGCCATTTTTGCCTATCACTTCAGGGGAAGGAAGTTCAAAGCCGCCGCACACCGAAAATACAAAATACAGGCATGGAAGAGCAAGAAGAAAAAGTATGAGAGCACCCAGATGCCCACAGGGAGGCCCCCACTGACAGCCTCACCTCAGGAGCAAAAGAGGAGGCTTCAAGACAGGGGTTTTCAATTCCCTTTTGTTGAAAAACATTATGGGGAGAAGCATATTCCCTTAAAGATGGTTCTTGGCTATGAGGTAAGTCCTCTGTTATGTGGGATAAATATTTCCTTAGTCTAAAAATTGTGAATTGAAATGGGCTCTGTTGTACTTCTATTAGAATAAAACAATGAAACAGATTCTACTTCTATTAAACAGGATACTTGATGTTTTAAAATTATTATCTTTTAAAGCAAACACTGCAGGAATATATATGGGTGTTGATAGAATGTTTCATCAGTTCATAATGTAAATTTTTTATAGTGGTACTTTTAAGATCTTACCTGAGTATTTTTTCCTACAGCAAGCAGCTGCAAAGGGGTATTTCAAGTATATTGAAGTGCTTAAATATGAAGAACATCTTAAGAAAGCTTTAAAAGCCCTTCAGGCCAGTGATGACTTAGAAAAGGAGTGTATGGTGTTACGGAAGCACAAGTACTTAGATGATGAAGGCCCCATTTCTCCTATTCAGGAGACAGAGTAAGTTCATCTTTGCTTTTTTGTGCTTTACTAACATATAAATGTATGTGTATCAAGTTCTGTTGTTCTCCTGGCTTTTAACCTTTGAAAGCATTGTTTATTTTGGGAACAAAGCACTCTATCCCTTGGGATATTATGTGTTTGTAGATGGTGGCTTAATAGTTCTCAAAGAAAGAAGTATTTTTAATTTGATCTGAAGACTGATAATTGTTGGTAGAAATTAAAGTATTTGCTGAAATGCACTGCTCTGTTATCCCAAATGAACTATAGTGTTCTAAACCAAATACTAAAGGATAATTTTAATACTTTTTTACATTAATAAAAACCAAAGTGTTATCTTTGGTCTTCAGGGTTGAGCAATTAGCTTAGTGCAATAAAAAGATCAGTAAATCAGCAAGAATACTTGCTGTTGTAAATACACTGATAACCTTTAGAAAGCCAAAAAGACAGTGTTCAAGGTACAATGCTGTCTTTCAGCTACTGTTCATTTAAGGGCTTGTGGTTAACACATTTTAAGGTTCTATAAAAGTACACAGTTTGATCTAATTTTTTTATTTCAGTGATGATGAGGACAGCTTGAATTCTGATACCCAGGAACACCTTGATGCCAGAGTAGTGGTAAGTAAGCACTCCTTAACTTGAGAAACACTCTGGCTTTTCTGTTCTGAAGTTAAAGAATTAGTAGATAATGTCTTCAGTATTTAGTTCTTGAACTTAAAAGCAGAGTTGCGTGACCTCTGAATTCTGATGTTAGTGCAGAAGGAGGTTGATAGTCCACACTTCTCTTCAATGTAATGCTGAAATATATAGGAATTCTGCAGTTCTCTCTAGAGTTCTTAACATCCAAAAATGTAGTACTAAAATGTTACACAAGTATTTCAAAACTAGACTTGTTTCTCCTTCTGTCTTCCATTTTCTTAGGAGAACAGCTCTTTCATTCTAAGCAGCACAATTCCCCAAAAAAAAAAGCCAAAGCCACGAAGAAAACATGCCAAACCACCTGAAGTGATTGAAATAATGGATGAAGAAGAGGGTGCTGAAGAGAACTCTGTGCCTCTGCAAGGCCCACCTTGGTGAACAGCAGATGGACCAATGTGGTGGCAGTGGTCGTTCCACAGATACCTTTTCATGGGCCTGTTTGGTTTAAAGCATTGGTCTGGAGTCAGTGTTCAGCTCTCCACTCAGCTGCCCAGGCACATTTGACTTACTGTGAGTATATTGGGCTTGTGTCTGAGACAGTGACAAAAATAGAATAACTTTGTCCTCATGCTCAGCTTTTAAGTGTCTTCTGGGCTAGTCTCTATCAGGAGTATAATATTCCTGGTTCAGTGGCTGATGAGCTTGGTGAAGTTCTGGCTTCTGCAATGTGACTTCTGTTAACCAATGGATCACAGAATTTACATAATCAAAATGGGAAGACAAGTTCCAAGTATTGTAAAGGAACAACAGCACAGGATAGAAAAGTATGTGTATGTAGAAAAGCAAGTGTACATTAAAAAGTATGCATACATCTGTATGCTTAAGTTGAAAGGGCAGTTTAGATGCCTTTCCTTCATAGGTGATTTCTTTGTGGGTGGTCCTTGGGAGATTGTTTTTCTGTCTTAGGGGTGCAGGCTTGAAATACTGAAAAAGTTAAAGGGTTGAAGAAAGAATTAAATGTTAATGCAAGTCAAGTGCCAGTCATAAAAATGCAGAAGTGGTTGGTCAATTTTGACAAAAGTTTATTAAAAAATGTGGTTAATGTATTTGAATGATAATAAAACCCAATTTTGTATGATTGAGATTGTCTATTCCATGAGGAATAAACTCTCAGAAAACGAATTCTCTGCTCCTTAATCTCATACAATAATCTGAAGTTGTAAGTTATTGTAAAAATAACTAGCAATATAGTGAATCTTGGGTTAAAAATTACTTTTTCCCTCTTTCTCGCCTCTGTCCAGAATGGCTTCTGATGTGAACATGACTTAGCAGAAGCTAAAAGCTCTTTATTAACAGTACTTGCCAGTCATTGCCCCAGCTGCAAACACCTTTCTCAAAGGTGTTTTAGTCAGTAGGAAACATGGCTAGTGTTTAGAAGTGGTCTGAGTATCACTGAATTCTCCTGCAGCAGTTTTGGTAGCTAAAGTAGTAAATGTTTAAAATGTTCACTTGTGAATAAGGAAGATTAAAAAAGGAGTCACCTCACAGCCTTACTCAGGTACTCTTAACCAAGTTGGTGTCAGCAGCTGACAGCTGTGCAGCAGGTTAAAGTAATCTGTGCTGAAGGAGCAAAAAGGCTTTGTCTGCTGATTAAATTTCCTTCAGATGAAACTAACAGTCTCAGGAGGTTTGCAGTAGGTGCTCAATATTGAGAGCAAGTCGAGCTGTGTTATTGACATGCTTGAATTAAGGTCCCAGACCTCTGTAAGGAAGTTTCCCAAATGCAGTTTTGATAGCTCTAGGTCTGCAGAAATTACCCTTCAGCATTTAAAGATCACAGCTAAAACTGGTCCAGAATTAAAGAATAAATGCAACTCTTTTAGCTGTCTCCCTGAGAAATACTTAAAGGCTTGAAAGACTCATCCTGGATGTAGGAGTGGGGCTCTTGGTAGGGCATAGTGAGGGGTTTGTGGAGTCCTGTTCATTCTGCTGTTCATGTGATTAATTCAGCTGTTCAACTGCTGAGTGACTCAGAAATGAACTAAGTTTCAATTCTGATTAGAAGTGGATAAATTTATACATGAAAATCAAGCTTATTACAGCTGCTAAATTGATTGTTAAAATCCAGCTTTAAGTAATTTTCAGTTATTTGACTGTATATGACAGTTTTTATCACTTTGCTTTTCTTTCTCTTCTAGTTTATGTTGTTTTGGAAGATAAAATACCTCTTGGTTTTCTTGCTGCATAAGGTAAGGTGTTACTTGGGTGTCAGTTTTGTTTCCTTCAGGTAGTTTTTTTTGCGTTATTTCACAAAAGGTTTTGAAAAGGCAGTGCTCCATAGTTAAAATAAACACATTACAGTGCTCCACAGCTGAGCAGCTTGTGAGTGTGAAACTTCCTGGGTATGAGTTCAGTGCTACATACCCTTCATCAGTCTGACCAGAATTAAAGCCTGTAGCCTCTCTGAACAAAAACTTGAGTTTTTGAATACTTCAAAGTGCAGTTTTTTAAAAAAACAAAAGCTTTACCTTCTGTCAAATTTTCTGTACCAGGGTGTATCAACAGCTGCACCTTCTTTCTGGTGGCTTCCTTGGAGTAAAATTCCATCTTAATTCATATCTCTTGCAAGAACAGGAGGGACGGCAGAGAGCAGCTGGTAGTCTAGTATGTACATGGCTGTGAAGGCTTCTTACTGTAGGATGTTGCCAAGTTTGCATGGCTTGGGACAACATAGGGAATAGCATGGAAGAAATCACCTAGTAAGGATACAGTATAGGAAAACCCCATAGGCATGGGAATCACTGAGCTGAGGATGGGCAAGTAGTGAAACCTTACAAGAACATTGTTGAGTGATAGGATGGGAGCAGACCCCTCACTTGGCCATGGCTGTAGGCAGAGAGCTGCACTAGGAGGCACATCAGGTTGGCACAGTGTACGTTGTTCTGAGGATGTTGTGGCTCTGAGCTCCTCACCACAATTGCCTTGGTTCAAGCTACCTGTCTCTGGGACTGGGAAGTGTGGTGACTGTCAGCCTCTGCTGCTGCTCACAGTAAGTATGCAGTCGGTTGGGAAGTAGCTTCAAATGCTGTTTCAAAAATAGTAAAAAAAATAAATGTGTTCAGTCCGTTCCAGCACTTGATCAGGTTTTGTCTTGTGCTGTAGACAAAAAACCTGGAACCTAGTGCTTAGAAAAAACCCTTCTTTTGCAACCCACAGCTGATGAATGTATTAGTTGTGTTACTTATATGAAGGGACAATATTTGCATGGCCTCAAATAGCATTAATTCATTCAAATACTGATCATTCTAGAGTTTATTGTTGTGAATTTTCAGAAGTGTAGTTTGGTTGTATCTTTCTTTGCAGATGAGCACACTCACTGAAGCAGCAGTTGTAACTATGTGGGGATCTCCTGAGTTCTTATGGCTGTTTGCTGACCTGATTCACAAATCCTTTACTCCAGTGGACATCTGTGCAGCATGGTAGCAAAAAAAGGTGAGCTTTGTGTTTCTTCTGAACTTCAGCATAAGACCACTGGGTTTCTACAGTTTAGTGCTATTCCCACAGCAAGTAATCAGACTAATTTGTGCACTGTATGGTATCTGCACCCAGCAGTGTTTTCCTGATGAGGTGTTCAAAAAGCAGTGCTACAGTATTTCAACAGCTGGCATCGTTGGTTTTCATGCAGATGTGCTGGTTAAACTTGGTATTTCTGTTGAAACAAGTAGATTTGGTGTTTATTAGTGGGAAGATTTTCAAATACAACATCAAAAAACTGTTAAACTGTTACAGGATAAAGTATAGTTAAACTAATGACATTGTTCCAAAATATTTTTTCTTAAAAGGGCATTCCTGTGATGTGTGGAACATATTGGAAAGCCTCTACTCAGATGTAAGTATTGAGGAAACAGTTGGGTTTTTTCCTAGGTGGAGGTAGTTGTATGAAGATAAAAGCTCAAGTCTTCTTGGTTGCCTTTTGACAACAAAAAAAAGTATTCTATTTTAAAACATATGACCACTAGAGACAGGTTTCTTTCCAAGTTACCTGGCTAGGTTTCAAAAACAGGCCATTCTAATTGTGGAGTTGTTATGCCTCGTTCTTCAGCAGCTAGACACAACCTGCAGTGTGTCTGAATTGGAAAACGTGGCTAGAAGAGTAACAGGTTCTGCTTTCCTCACTGTACTCTTAATTGCAGTGGTGACAATGAAACCTGTAACAAGTTCACTTAGTGGGACAATTATGCAAGCATACTTAAAAATGCAACTATTATGAAATTTAAGCATAAATGTGAGTTAACGTGCTTCAATTCTGTATCCTATGTACTAAAAGAAGTAGAATTAGCAGTGGAGGGAAAATACTTGCAGTGCTGAATTCCTGTAGATGGTTTATTAAAAGCATATTTTTAAGGTGTTGTACAGTAGTCTCTTCCATGCTTTCTTTGTGAGGTACCTCCCTTAGTTTTACCTTCTGTGCCACAGTGCTCCAGTCTCTTCAGCTGCAGCTGGACCTTGTTGTAATTGTGTGATAAACTGGGCTGTGGTGTGATGGCAGATAAAGTGCTCTGTTGTGTCATCAGCATTCTGCCAGTGTAACTGGGCTACTCTGCCTGGCCTCATACTGAGATAAAAGCACTCAAGTCTTGATGAACTGCTAAAATACTGAGGAAACTTAAAAGCATTACTTAAATACAACAATTTATTTTGTTTTAGGAAGTGCACCTGATGTCCAGTCTGAACTAGCATCTTGGTAAGTTTGTGTCACTGGTTTTTTTTTACCCTTACCTGTTTCAGGTCAGCCACCTGTCTTTAACTTGGTGAGCTGGTTATACTGCTGCTCCTCACTTAGTGAGAAAATGCAGTGTTGTTTCAGAAAACATCAGAGCTTATTTTCCCCAAACTTTAGAATGCTGTTAGAAAATTGTTGTGATGATTGGCAGAATGTTCAACTGCTCTGAAGAGAGTGAGTGAGAAGAGCCTTTCTGAACAAATTTACTTAATACTGTTGTAGGTTCTGCTGATTTGTATGCTGGTTTGTAACTTGTTCTTTTCTGGTTGCAGGTGCTTAGGGAAAGTGAAGAAGAAAGAAATGCAGGCTGCCATTTCACAGAGTCTGAAGCTGCTTCAAGGGTTAGTGTGACATCTGAAGTTCTGCCTATACTTTAAAGACTGAGGGGCTCTGGTCTTCAGTAGGTCAGGAGTCTCTCAGACCAAGCTCACTGATTTGTGAAAGTTCAGGGACTGTATTCAACATTACACTACTATATCTTAATGGATTGTTCATTCTGTTACAGGAAGAATTTATTGTAACCTAAGTTTGGCCAAGGAATGTTCATATAAATTCCTCAGTCAAAAACTAGATGAACAGGTTGACTGCTTAAACTGATAGTTTTGCATTGACCAGTAAGTTACATTCAGTATGAAATTTATAGGGAGGATTCTGCAGAGTTCTGTAGATAATTCCCATTGATGTTTGCTTCTCAGGTAACTTAACTTGTAATTGAAAGCTTGCCAATATGAAGGACGTGCTAGTGAATCTCACTCTCTTCCTTCCCCAGAATGTCTTGAAACAACATAAAATGACACTTGTGATGTGTACCAAGTACTTTCCCAGTCTGCTTGATTTTGATTTATTATCTCTTGTGTTAATTTATAGCACCAGAAGTGTTGAGGTCTATCCCGATGGGATCTTTCCTGTAGGTTCATGTCGTTGGAAACGCCTCACAGAATAAACTTGTGGTTTGGCTTTACCCACTTAACTACCTGTTAGCTCTGTGGGATAAAACTGCAAGACAAATCTTAGAGTACAATCTGAGGAATGCAGGATGCCCAGTGTTCTCCTTTAGGTGTACTGCAATATGCTTGGAATACAAACCAAAAAGGGATTGAAATGGAAAAGCTTGGTTGGAGTCAATGTGTTCTGGGACTTCAGGTCCCAGACATTCTGAATTACATGGGCTGAACTTTGTCTCTTGCCCAGGTTTTTGTGTAGGTGCCTGACTTGTAACACAGTTTATTTTCCTGCTTGTTTTCTGGATGGCTTGAAACAGTCTATTGCCCCCTTTAATCATGCAGGAGTGATTATTCTTTCTTGTTTCAGTGGCTGTAGGTAGGAAGAGACAGCACTGTAATGTCTGTTATGAAGTAACTTCTTAAACTTCAAGTATTTTTGTGTTGTATTGAGAGATGCTCGACAGTTTCATACTGAGAAGCAATATTTTGTTAATTTCTTCAAGTGTGGGGTTTATAGAGTTAATTTCTGAGCAGATCAGCCCGTTTTTTGCTATACTGTTAAAATCCCTGCATTCTGTTCTACAGAACAAAGAGTTCAAAGTAAAAGAAACAAAGTACTCTGGAAAAAGTATAAATCTTTGCATAGGAGAATGGTGAAGCTGCTGTTCATGTTAGTCTGTTCTCCCTCTCAGCTGCATGGCAGTTCTGTGGAGAGTACCTCTTACTGCCTGACACCCTCTGGTGCATGCAAGAAGCTCAAATGTAAAATGAGCTGTGGTGGTTGAAGGTCTGTGCACCCAGCAGCCTCCTCCTGGTGGGCAGATGGTCAAAAAGCAGTGCAGCATTTGGCATCCTTGGTTTCCAGTCTGCTGTGCCTGTTAAACCAGGTATTTTTGCTGAAACAATCTTTAACCTCTAAAGGGATTTCAGTGTACTTATTTTCATGTAACAAATGAAAATAGATGTTTTCATTTGTCTTCATTTTGATTATCTGTGTGAAAACTGGCTAGTGGGCTCTGGAACTCAGCAAGTGCATTCAATTCTTTCTAACAGGTGCTTGAGGATACAGAATGAAGTGAATTGAATTGCCCTGAGTTAAAAAGATGGAAGCAATTTGTTTGACAGGTAAGCACTCAGTTACTAGTTCATATCATTTTACAGTTGGTGTATTAGCTTTTTATGACTGTAAACATGGGAACTACTAAGGTGTTGTAGAACTAAGTGTAGAATGGTTGTGAGTACCAGAGATTACTGGGTAGTGATCACTGCAGATCTTTGCAGTATCTGAGGAGATCACTCATCTGTGAGTCATTCTTGTGTGCATTCATACTTCAAACTGCTGTCACAGTTGTGCAGCCATTTGTAGTACAGGTCTCTGAATTAACTCTGCTGTTGTGAGGAATTCCTCAGTTTGGAGGAATTCCAAACTTGGAGTTTGTGCCATACTTGAGGCTTGTTCACAACTTGGGTTATGTATTTGCAGGATTGATTGGTCCTTCACTAGAAAAGATGGACAGCTGGGCTGTTGAAGTCCTGTCAGAGCAGTGAGAGGAGTATCTGGTCATTACCAAGGCTGCTGGGATGTTGCTGTTTCTGGTGAGCTGTGGACATGACCATAAAGCAAATCCACCAGACTCCTGTGCTGCCACATGATGTGGCACCAAGTCTGCTGGGCATAAAGCTTTAACATGGGTCAAGGACACAATACTCCCTGCTGCTGTCAAGAGCAAGTTCTGAGGTGTAGGGATGTATCCTTGGGCACCTTCAACACTTAAGCTACAGGGATGCAGAAGTTCCAGTTACGTGATTTGTTGATTGAATTTCAGAGCTCCTGCTGAGAGGTTGGTTCTTTGAAACAAACAAAACCAGGAGACACAGGCTGTTCCATGTAATTTACACCCAAGGTGCACTTTTCCCCTGTACTAATGAAACCCAACTCTTGACTCCTAGGGTCTGCCACCAAGTTGTTGCCTGTCAGAGGGATGAGAAACACCATGTGGGAGCTAGCAAAGAGAGTGTGAAGGTAAGGGCACTTCCCAAAAAGGCTGAGACTGTAAAGAAATTGAAGGTCACTTCAAAGAGGGTTTGCGTGGCTGAAAAACCAGCAGCTCTTAACGCGGTGACCGCATATTGAAATCCTCTGCAGGATGCCGTGGACACTCTGTGTGTGCTCTGGTCTATTTGTGAGGAGATAAGCCCTTGTGTAGTTGAGCCTTACCCTGCTGCCTTCAGGGTTTGTTGATGCTGATGTGGAGGAGAGGCTACTCAGTTCCATTCTGAAGCAAGAACTTGCAGCATGGAGCATTAAGGAACAGGGTTGCTGCAGTTGTGGTTTGAGCAGTGTTGCAGTCCAGTTGCTGTTTGTGTGTGCTGAGAAGGGCAGTGGAGCTGGGGAAGGGTCTGGAGCACAAGTTGGATGAGGAGCAGCTGAGGGAGCTGGGGGTGTTACACCTGGAGAAAAGGTGGCACAGGGGGAGCCTTCTGCTTTGTACAGCCACCTGAAAGGAGCATGTAGTGAGGTGGGGGTTGGCCTGACAATTAACAAAAATTAGAGGAGATGACCTCAACTTGTGCCAGGAGAAGTTTAGATTGGATATTAGAAAAGTTGTTTTTATTTGGATTGAAAATGCTAATAGATATTTTTCCTCTCTTAGATCCTGCTGATGTTGATGCAAGCCTGCTCCAAAGAACTGCACAGCTGTTCCAGACAAAGAAAGAACCATCCCTAGAGAGTTTATTGCAGTTTTTTGAATTAAACATTCATTTTAACTTGCTACTCCATGCTCTACTGATAATCCCAGAATTGTGCAAACAGCTTCCACCTGGGTCCATGGAATTTAACAAACTGTATTTGTCTTATGGTTTGCTGCTGCAGTACATGCCAACTGCACCAGACTGAAAGAAATGAGTGAAAAGTGTAGAGTTAATTCATCAAAAATCAGCTTTCTAAGAGTTCCCTTGGAGCAGATTTAGAGGAGGTTGCAAAAGTGAACACAGGGATGGAGCACTTCACCTCCTGTGAAGAGGCTCAGAGCTGGGGTTCTGCCTGGAGCAGAGAATGCACCAGGAAGATCTTGTTAGAGCCTTAAGCATTGCAGGGGCACTGGACCATAGGACCTTTAAAAGTCTCTTCTGTAGTACCAACTACTCCATGGCTTGCTGTGGTGTGTTTTAACCAGAAAGAGCATTAATGGAAAGCCCTTGGTACTTCACCTGTTAATAACCAAGTTTACAGAAAAAGTTGCACTTTAACTCTTGTGGAGAGTTTTGTTAACAGTTGGTTAGCTGAGAAAGGCCATGTTGACATAATGCCGCTGGTTAAGCTTGAAAGGGAAGTCAGCAGTCAGTGACCAATGACAGGCAAGGACATGATGCCCTTGCTGCAACATGAGGATAGGGAAGAGAGATTCTTGCTGAAAATATGCAGAAAGTATCAAAAGAACAACCACAAAACTGCAGAAGTAGGTGTAGTTGCTGATACGTAACTAACCAATCCTGAGCTCAGCTTTTGCAATATGTATGAAGCTTATTATGAACTGTATTTAACCAGCTGTATCCATCAATAAATTGGACCTGCGATGAATCAATTGATGTCCGGGTCTCCTTCCATCGACAAATGGTGACCCCGAACGTTTGCCCTCTCGGATTAAAAGAAAAAAGGGGGGAACACGCCACGGTCGAGGAAGTTGGGTTTGGGTCCTTGCAGCCGGGACAGTGCCGGAATTTGAAGTACCCTTGAGGTTCACAACGGTGACTCAAGCCAATACATCCCGCTGGAGCCTGGAGAGCTGCAACAGCGCACGCTGACGAATAGGTATGGATAGGCAAGCGGCATAAGATTTATTCGCCGCGTATTTAGAACGGCGAGGAGTAAAAGGGATAGATTTAAAAAAGGAATTACCAGGGTTATTGGCTTACGGCCATACTAAAGGGATTTTTGTTAACCCACATACAGTTCATGAGCTAGCAGAGTGGAAGAAGTTTGGGGATATCCTGTGGGATACAGTGTTAGACGATGATGAGTCAGCAAAGAAATTAGGCAAGCTATGGCGGGTGGTGTATAATACGTTGCTTCAGCATGTCTCTGAGAGAAAGGCAGCAGAAAGGGCGACAGAAGCTCATAAGAGGAATATAGGGTATGGTCGTGAGGATGATCCCCTGGCACCTTCTGTAACCAGGATACTTATGCCTAAGAGTCCCCAGCAAAGTGGTGTGGAGGATTTTCCTATAGACATAGTGGAACCGTCTGCACCCGTCCTGTTATGGGGGGAGGGCGAGTTGGATGGTGGAGCTAAGAGCAAGCCAGCTTCGCCTCCGCCGCCAGCTTCAGGTGGGTTGGATGGTGGGGGTGGGAGCAAGCCAGCTTTGCCTCCGCTGCTTCCCCCGCGCTAGCCAGCTCCGGTTCCACCGCCCCCCCGCCGGAAAGCTCGGTGTCTGTACGGAAGTGCCAGCAGCATAGCACCCTTAAAGAGTCAGACCCTATCCCAGGGGCACACAGTGACCTATGGGGGGAGATGGCTAAACAGAGGAGGGAAGCTTGGGCTGCTGCAAATGGGGGATGGCGAGGCGGTGGAAGTAGCTTCTAGTCTTGCATGTCCGGTCACATACACACCACAGTAGGATGCACAGGGGAACCTTAAGCATAATATAGTCCCTTAGATTGGAAGTTGTTAGCTCAGTTACGTTCTACGGTTAGTCAGTTTGGAGTAAAAAGTGAACCTGTTAGGCAAATGCAAGAGTGTTAGCTACTTTAGGGGCAAATTGGACCATTGAGGAGGCATTAGAGCGAATGGCATTAATGCCAACAGCTTCACAGGCATTTATAGCAGAAGCTTTAAAGGAATTAGGATTAGGGTTGCAAAAGCAAGCAGAGTCTGCTCAGAATCAGGTGTTAGCTGCTCTTGCTCCTCTCCGAAGCGGCTCACTGGCGGTTACGCAAGGAGGCTCGAGACCGTTCATCAAGTGTTACCGATGCGGTAATGCGGGACATACGCGCCCAGACACAAGTAGCCGCCGTGACATCAGAGACACCAGCTGCCGATGCAACATCACTGCCACCCCCTGTCTGCAACCAGCAACAGCAGGGAGCCTCGGCTTGGACTTATCAGCAGCAGTAGACGTCATGCTAATGACGAACTGGCCTGAGAGGATACCAACTGGAGTAAAGGGTCCTCTTGTATTAAATGGACAAAGATGTGGAGCATTGTTACTAGGACGTTCCTCAACAACCATGCTGCGATTATTTGTATTGACTGGTGTTATTGATGCGGACTATACAGGGGAAATACAAATCATGGTTTACACCCTTTATCCCCCGATTAAAATAGCAAAAGGACAACGCATCGCACAATTGGTACCGCTATCACAAATGACATCGGGTATACCATCATTTACTGGGCAAACACGGAATGATAAGGGTTTTGGCTCTACTGGTGTTACACTTTTGACTGTGGATTTACAAAACAGACCAAAAAAAGTTGAGATTACCCATGGACATCAAAGCATAACCCTTTATGGATTATTGGATACAGGAGCTATTACAGCTTTTACAGATGCAGGAAAGAAATCAAGGCGTGCTGCTGTCACCTGGCAAGAAAAAGGACAATGGAAGCATCAACTCCTCACAGCAGAGCCTGCAGACAGCTTACAAACCCTGGAATTGTTAGCAGGAGTATGGGCAGTGTCCAACTTACAGGAGCCTTTAAATGTGGTCACAGACTCTGTGTATGTCGCAGGAGTAGTCAGACGAATAGAGGAAGCAGCAATTAAGGAAGTGAATAATAAACGATTGTATGAGTTACTGGTACAATTAAGGAAAGCTCTACGAGAGAGAAATGCAGTGTATTCTGTGATTCATATTAGGAGCCATAAATGGTCTGAAGGTTTAGGAGAAGGGAATGAACGTGCAGACAAATTGGTTACCCTACCCATTGATAACTCTTGTCCTATTGATAAGCATACATTGGCCAGAGAAGCACATAGTGGATATCATCAAAATGCAAAAGGATTAGCAATGCACTTTGAGCTGAGTTTGTCAGAAGCTAAGGCCATTGTTAGAGCATGTCCAACATGTAGTTATCATAATGGGGGAATAGGTTTAGGCGTCGGAGTTAATCCTCGAGGTTTAGAAATAAATGAGAAATAGCAAATGGATGTTACACATGTAGCTAGATTTGGTAGAGTCAAGTATGTGCATGTCACTATAGATACATATAGTCATTACATATGGGCTACGGCTCAGGCAGGAGAGAAAGCTATACATGTTATCAGGCACCTGTTACGTTGCTTCGCTGTCATGGGAGTCCCAAAGAGTATCAAAACAGATAATGGTCCAGCTTATGTAAGTGCTAGGGTCCAGAAATTTTTGAATCAGTGGTCTGTTAAGCATTTGACAGGTATTCCATACTCCTCTACTGGACAGGCAATAGTGGAAAGAGCAAACGGCACCCTTAAGCAGTATATTGAAAAGCATCAAGATTTAAGAGACCCACAAGCATGTTTGGCTAAGGTTCTGTATGTGATCAACCATTTATGTATTTTTGGGGAAGACGATACCGCCCCTGCAATTAAACATCACCCGAGGTCAGGTCAGGAAACTACTAAGGAAATGGAGGTCTGGGTGTAATTTTAATGCTTTTGCTTATTTTGCCTTGTGTCTTTAATTGTATTCAAAACATGGTCAGCTGTATGATAGCAAAAACCTGGCAGACTAGTCTTCTTGCTCAAGAAGAAAACGGGGGAAATGTGGAGAGTTTTGTTAACAGTTGGTTAGCTGAGAAAGGCCATGTTGACATAATGCCACTGGTTAAGCTTGAAAGGGAAGTCAGCAGTCAGTGACCAATGATAGGCAAGGACATGATGCCCTTGCCGCAACATGAGGATAGGGAAGAGAGATTCTTGCTGAAAATGTGCAGAAAGTATCAAAAGAACAACCACAAAAATGCAGAAGTAGGCGTAGTTGCTGATACGTAACTAACCAATCCTGAGCTCAGCTTTTGCAATATGTATGAAGCTTATTATGAACTGTATTTAACCAGCTGTATCCATCAATAAATTGGACCTGCGATGAATCAATTGATGTCCGGGTCTCCTTCCATTGACAAACTCTGACCTAACAGTTATGTGCTTAGCTCATAAAACAGGTGTAGAAAACCTCTCTTTGGAAGAAGTAAATTTTTAGTTCTTCCATTCAAGTGCTTTAAGATGTACTCTGTGACTGCAGGAAACCATACTTCTAATCTTAAATCACCCAGTGCAAAGAACAGACCAAAAACTCCAGCTTTACAGGAGAAAGGTCCTTTTCCCCAGAGATTCATATAACCTTAAAACTTTATTTGAAAACATTTTATACATGTATATTACAAAACTTACTTACAAAATCTATTTGAAATATTAACATATAAGAAAAGCCTTTCAGGCCAGTAACTCAGTCTGAGACAAACAATGAAAAAAGCATTGTTTCTTCAGTCCATCTGCACCTGTGGTGAGCTCTGAACAGGGGACCACAGGGGTTTGGGGTACTCACTGTTCCTGCAGCTTAGAGCTGAGTATGCCTAAATGGCTTCAGCATTCACCACTGAGGCTGCAGCACTCAGGGGCCTGGATTGTACGAACACCACCGTGTGCCCTTGTTGCTCAAAATCTTTCCCTGTCATGGTGCTTTCCAAGTCTTCTTGGCCCGCAGTTTCTCCAGAATTTTCTGCAAATACAACAAGCCATGAGACCAGTGCTGAAGCTGAAGTGGCTGCCCTAAAGCCAGCATGCCTGGGAACTG